CAAGCAGAGGGCACTCATGAGGGAGGGGAGGTGCCCGTGTGGGTCTGCAGCCAATCCGTGCACCCAGGATGAAAACTCCCCGACCAGAAGCAAGGCACAGGGGTCGCAGCCGGGCGCCTGCTGCTCTCCACAGACGCATTCACCGGATCACCAGCGCTGCCTCGGACTGAGCGCGCACCTGCGCCCGCACTGCCTTGGATGATGCGCGCAGTCCTCGCGGCCATGAATCTGCGTCTCTCCCAACATGAGGACAAGGGCAGCAGCCAACAACCGGGCATGCGGCGTCAGCACCGCTCACACTGATGTGGCGAGCTCGAGGCTGTGGTCGCCAGGCTGCGCCTGTCTTCCACCCCGCTCACCAACACAGAGAGGATGGCCCCACGGGCTCGCGGACCCCAGCATCCAACGAAAGGCCGGCTACCTTAGCTGCTAACCCCCCCAGGTTGGACGCTTCATGCTGTGGTCAGATGGGGCGCATGAACGGTCTCAGGGTCTCCTCCCAGGGCTGGTCCTCCACGAGGACGAGAAGCCAGCTCCCTGAGGTCTTCACAAGGCCCTGCAGGCAGTGGCCTGGCCCGCACGCGCCCAAGGGCCTCACCTGGTTGCAGTACCCACAGTCCACATGGCAAACACAGTCGGGTGGACCCCTACTACGATGGTCACATGCCAGTTCTCCAAACATGTTTTGGAGAGGAGTAAAATGACTTAAGAAAAGAAAATCACAACCTGAAGCCAAGAAGCAGTAGCCCCTGAATGCCCACCTTCAACAACTGCCCACAGTATCAAGCAGCCTGCACTCGGAATGAAAACCGAACTCGCCGCCCCAATCGGGCCAGTGCCAACTCAGTGACCGCACAGCACGGGGGATGGCCCGCGAGTTCCAAGACTAACTCTGTACAGGAGTAGGACAAGCCCTGTCTTCTCCTGTGGGGCTTCTGGTGGTTTCGACTGCTGACCTAGCGGTTAGCAAGATCAATGAGTAACCAGGGCACCCACCATGGCTCCTTTGGGGCAAGACCCAGCAGCGTAGTAAGTTCCATTCTGGGGTGAGCTGGTGCCACCACCTGGTGTCCCACCCCCTCTCCACAGTGCTCCAGCCGCCTGCCCTCGGCATTCCCAGGCAGGGGCAGACAACCCTGAAGACGGTTGGAGTGCTAGATGAGGAAGGGCTCTGAAGGCCTGAGCCTTTCTCTCTGACTTCAGACTCCACCAGTTGTGGAGTTGTGAGGCTGCCCATGCTTACACTCATTTCTGCCAGCCACAGTTACTTCTGCTGTGTTCAGCGCAGAACCGAGTCCAGGGACTACGGAACCTCGGGCTAGCCAGTCTGACACTTCCTGCCCTACATCCCCTCACTGCTGCAGGGCCCTGCCTGAGCAAGCAGCCTGCCTCTGACGGCGACACATCTCTGCGCCGTTGATCTGACTGCTGCCGGGAGCCCTCAGCCAGCGCCAGGCTGCAGGGCACAGCAATGCCCCTTCATAATCTCCACATAACTAAGGGGGAGTTTCCCCATCGTCCCTGAGACGGACACTGAAAGCATGAGCGGGCAGTACAGGCTAGATCGGGACGACTTTCATGGACACAGTGAGCAAGCCCCAGGGTGAAACTGCAGCTCCCGAGCCTTCCCAGTGAGACCACTAGCCACAGGCCCTCTGTCCACGGAGCCCAAGAGGGGAAGGAGTCACTTAGTGACAGAGGAGGCACACCACCCCCACCCCAGCCATGCTCACACACACACACACTCACACGGGAAAACCATGTGGGGGATCCCACTCCCCACAGTTAAGAAGCATTAAAACGACATCAGCAGGTCCGCGATTTTAAAAGGCGAAACTTGTGTGTTTTCCTCTCACCTGAACTGGGCTTTGATACTGCTGGGGCTGGCACATCGGGTCTGGGTCTCCTTCTCTTGCTTTTCCCTCAGGATCCTCTCGGCGAGCAGGAAGTAGGTGGCGGTGATGTGGTTGTATCTGTTGGTCTCCAGGGCTCTGCAGAAGACACAGCGACAGCGAACATAAGGCACACTCCACGCCCGGCAGAGCTGGATTTAAACACCAAACCCGACCAAGAAATGCACAAGCAACCCAAATGCAATGACTTGTGAGCTTTAAAATTATACCACAAAACTAGAGGGGGGAAAAGAAAACAAAACCCACTGCTATTAGTTACTTAGGTTACTCTTGGAATTCTGAAAACCTGGATGAAAACATTTGTGCTGGAAAAACCCACCATGCTGGCGGCAGCTGGGCTGGAAGGGGGCTTTGGGTGCATAAGAACAGGTAAGCAGGCATCCCAGGTGCACACCTGCCGGCCGTGCCGTGTGTCAGTGTGGACTTGTGTCATGCTGGCTGACTTGCAGCCCTCAGCAGCACAAAGGGACATGGCATCCATCATGGGACACGAACATGCGCTCAAATGCCAGCATCCACGCAGATCAGAGAATTGGCAAGTCATACTGTGGTTGAGAGCACAGGACAGCCTCTTTGCAGAATAAATCAGCCTGCTCATAAACCCACTTCAAGAGCAATGCCCCCTGAGTACCTCGTCTGGCCAGGCCCACGAGTGCGAAGGACCCCACGTGGCCCGGGGACCCAGGGACCCAAGCGTGGTGCTTTCTGTAGTTAGTGAAAACACTCAGGAGAGGACCCCTAGCGGAGCTCACCTTGTACAGACCGTACAGTGTCAGGGGACAGCCCAGGCTAGGTGCCACCACCAGAGCTCAAGAAAAACACAGGGCTCAGGGCGACTGACCTGACCTGAAACGGCTGCTCAGCAGAGTCCTAGGTAAGGCAGGTGATGTATTTAGGAGGCTTGTCCAGGGTCTTCAAGTCCAAGAACCACCCTCAAAACGAGGAGCTGCTCACACCGAGTAAAGAAGTAAGGACTGGGGCTCCCCAGGGGGCAGCCAGCTTGGCTTGCCCATCTCTGCTTCATCTGGGGCATGTGATCACGCACTGAGGGGCAGCCACACTTAGAGTACCCCCACCCCCCGCCCCTTCCTTTGGGAGATGTAGCTGAATGTGCATTAATTCATTCTCCATGGGACATGGGTTAAGCAGGAAGTGTCCCGTGCCATGAGGCTGTCTGTCTGCTCCCGGACCTCAGGAGGCAGAGGTACTGTGTGACAGGGTGGGAGTCAGACTCAGGTCAAAAGCAGGGGGTTGGTTTTCAGTCTGTAACGCCACTGTGCTCACTGAACACATTAAGTAAGGTAGATGACTGGGTACGTGAAAGGTGGTGCGCACATACGATGGAGAATTAATTACTCAGCCACAAAGAGAAGTGAGGCTCCAGCACAGGCCCTGGAGTGGGCGACCCTGGGAAACGTTCCCGTGAGCGCGGCAGGCAGAAAAGGGCGCATACTGCACAGTCCCACTGACAGAACCCCTCGGGGCAGGCCAACGTGTGGACAGAGACGAGCGGTTCCCGAGGGCCAAGGGACCAAGCTTCTGCTGGGGATGGTGCTGGCTGCCCAGCATGGTGACCATGACTGCTGCCACCGAACTTAAGGGGAGTGAACAAGGCAAATTTTCTGTGTGTGTGTGTGTGTGTGTGTGTGTCTACTTACTACTAGAAAATAAATATAAAACTACCTCAGGGTGACTCAGAAATGCAAAAGTTTTTCCTGTGCATTCCCGAGCCTCTTCCAGTGGCTGGAGCAAGCGAGAGGCATCACAGGAATGCACTGGGAAATAGGTGGAAATCTACTGACGCCAAAGTGAAGAGGTGGGTCGATTTCTGGGGATCTTTTCTTGCCAGTGAATGAAAAGCAGCCTAAAGTCTCATGTCCTTCACACAGATGCCCCTCTCTCGGGGACCAGCCCCTCACACTGGGCTGTTGCATGTGACCCCACCATGCCCAGCCCCACCCCACCCAGGAAGCAGGCCTGTAGGTCCACTCTGGGACTCAGTACCAGGTCTCTCAGCCACACCGAGCAGTTCTCCCAGTAGGAGTCCCTCTTTTGCTGCCCAGAGCCCCACTTTCCCTCATCCTCAGCTGTCTCATGCAGTTGTCCAAGTCCTCTGGTCCTCACTGGTGGGAAGGGTGTGTGCAGCTCACAGCCAGCGCCTCTTACAGAAACTCACTACCATGGAGACAGAGCCAGTGGCTCTTCACGCTGCGGGAGCGGTCATCTCAAAGGTCTGCGGGGACTGGGACCGGGCTTCAGTGTTTTCCACAGGCACTGGTCATCAGTGGGACCCGTGGGCTCCGCAGCCACTCTGTTTAGGCTGCATGCTCCTGTAGCACAAGGTCGCCATGGACAGACGTGGATTTGACTGCCGTCCACCTCACTGACAACCCCCCACGGCCCACCCTGACTAGAGAGCCCGCAGCTGTCCTACGCCCCGTTTCTCCCTGGTCCTGGGGGAGAAGACAGGCGAGTCCAAATGAATGACAAGAAGAGACTCCAATCCCACGCCGGCACTGACAGCCCCCAGGGGCTTACTGGCAGACAGGAAAACCTCTGTGCCACACACTGTGCCGGGCACGTTGGAGCTAAGTACGATCTCACCCCTGCCAACTGGGGAGTCTGGCCACGGTGTGGTGTGCCCCAAGGCCCTGGCTGGGAGAGAACGGCCATCCACGGTGCGGTGTGCCCCAAGGCCCTGGCTGGGAGAGAACGGCCCTCCCAGGAGCCCAAGGCCCGTGAGCCCACGCTAAGGCGCAGGACCTACTCAACAATGGCGTCCCGGTCAGCGATGTCCCCAAGCACCATGCGCTGAATGATGCCGTTGTGCTCCTCTTCCGAGAGATTCTTGTAAGACACCAGAGGGATGTTGTACTTGGTGGCCGGCGAGGGGTCCACGCCCTGGAGCCAGGGGTGGTTCTCGATCTCCTCGAGAGAGGCCCTGCGCTTGGGGTCTCTCTGCAGCATCCGAGTGATCAGGCTAGGAGGAAAGGACACCCACGGTGAAAGCAAGCAGGATGAGTAATGGCGACTCATTTTATTATTTCCCACTCTTACACAATCAATTCAATTAGGATTAATCATTACGTGGTGGGGAGTTCGGGGGGGGGGCTGGTAGAAATAATGAAAATGGGGAGCTATCAAGAGTTGTAAAATAAAAAAAGTCACCACTTCCAGATAAACCGGTTATCTCAAACAGACAAGCACAGCTTGCTATAATCTATAATTAACTCTAGTCGCAAATTAACACCTGTCCTTGAATTAGCTGCTGGCTCAGTGGCATTTCAGAACCAATGGTCAGGAACAAGCCAGGTACAGGGCCCACTGACCCTAATAAAGACAAGTAAAATGTTACACGTTTTCAGGTGTTTTGTTTTTAAGGATGTCATGTTGGCCAAAAGGGGGGAAATTTTTTTTAAAACACTACGCAGCCACTAGAAATAAACAAAGTTGGGGCTTTGAGAGGTGATCCACAAAGCTGGCTTTCCGTCTGATGATTTCTGCTCCTGTTCTGAAAACCACATCGGGTGAAGGGAACTGAATGCAATGCGTCAAGCTACTGAAGATGGGAGCCCAGCTGGAGGGAGGAAGGGAAGAATGGGTGGATAGATGGAGCGAGGGAGGGAGGGATGGACAGTAGACGGATGGATGGAAAGAGTACTTGCTGTTTGGGTTCCTAGCATCAGTGTGAGAAGGGCTGAGACACACAGACGACAACAGTACTGAATATGTTCAAGGTCATGAAGGAGATACATGAAAATACGACTAAGGAACAGAAGCCCATACAACACTGCTCTGTAGTGTTGGAGTGGGGGTGGGGGTGGTGGCTCTAATACACGCCTAACCAGAATTCCAAAAGGAAAGGAAAACCAGAAAGATGTTTTCTTTGAAAAACCAGATAAAGGCTGAACATGATAGTGGGACAAGAGGAAAGTACAAAGAAATAGAGGAAAGAACTAGGAGGCAAAGGGCAGTTATAGAGATCTAAATATAGGCATATACAGGCATAAATATATTTGTATATGACAAGGGGGTAATAGATCTATGTACATATATTTATAGGCTTAGTATTAAGGAAACAGATGAACAGTGGGCCCCGACTCAAAGACTCCCTCAACACAAGAATACTTTGTTCTAACAATTCAGCAGTCTGAGATGCTCACCTTCCTGGGCACAATTCACTGAAGACAACGGGTGCATAAGCAAACGTGATGAAGAAAGCTGATGGTGCCTGGCTATCAAAAGATAGCATCAGAGGTCTTAAAGGCCTAAAAATAAACAAGCGGCTATCTAGCTGAGAAACAACAAAACCCACATGGAAGAAGCACACCAGCCTGTCCCAACTCAATCACTGAGGACAAAGCAGACGCATAAGCAAATGTGGTGAAGAAAGCTGATGGTGCCTGGCTATCAAAAGATATAGCGTCTGGGGTCCTATAGGCTGGAAGATAAACAAGTGGCCTGAGAAACAACAAAGCTCACATGGAAGAAGCACACCAGCCTGTGAGATCACAAGGCACCAAAGGGATCAGGTATCAGGCATCAAAGAACAAAGAAAATCATAGCATTGTGAATGAGGGGGAGGGCGGAGTGGGGACCCAGGGCCCATCTGTGGGCAATTGGACATCCCTTTGCAGAAGGGCCACAGAGAGGAGACGAGCCAGTCAGGGTGCAGTGTAGCAATGATGAAAAATACAATTTTCCTCTAGTTCTTGAATGCTTCCTTCCCCCCACTATGATGATCCCAATTCTACCTTACAAATCCAGCTAGACTGGAGGATGTACACTGGTAGAGGTAAGAACTGGAAACACAGGGAATCCAGGACAGGTGAACCCCTCAGGACCAGTGGTGAGAGAGGCAATACTGGGAGGGTGGAGGGAAGGTGGGGTAGAAAGGGGGAACAGATTACAAGGATCAATATATAACATCCTCACTAGGGGACAGATAGCGGAGAAGTGGGTGATAGTGTAAGATATTACAAAATAATAATAATTTATAAATTATCAACGGTTCATGGGGGAGGGGGAGCAGAAAGGGAGGGAAAAACTGAGGAGCTGATACCAAGGGCTCAAGTAGAAAGCAAATGTTTTGAGAATGATGATGAGGGAAACAAATGTACAAAAGTTGTACAAGCCCCCAATAATATGATTTTTTTTAAAAAGAAAGAAAAACTGATGCATGAAGAGTTTCCAAATTCATCAAAGAATGCAAACCTTGACCCGGGAGCCCTAACATGTTCTAGGCGGGCAGTCGGAGAGAACAGATAGCACTCACACAGGGACAACCATAAGACACAGCTGACTTCGCAGCAGCAACAATGGATGTCAGAAGGGAGCAGAATCGTCTTTTCAAGAGCAAAAGTTTCAACCCAGAATCCTATACCCAGTGAAACTTTCAAGAACACTTATCAGATAATGTCATGTTCAATACAGACTAATACAATCATCACTGACAAATGCTCACCTAGAGAAATTCAAAAGGATCCAACTTTCAGAAGAATGAGATCCAGCTGAGAGGGTTGATATGTAAGAAGGATGAATAAGAAACATTTTTGGCAAACACCTGAGTAAGTCTAAATGATTTTTATCTCTATGAAATAACACTACCTAATTTGTGAAGTAAAAAAAAAATGTTACTAAAATATTGGAGGGGAATTAAAGCTTTGTAAGGATTTTAGGGGTTATTTAGGAAGACGGTAACATTACAGATCAATTCTAGATTTTGCTAAATTAAATACACAAAGATGTCTGTGTAAGTTAAAACAGGAAGATCATGAACATTTTAGGCTAACTTCTGTGTTAGTTGAGGGAAAAAGCAAATGAAGTCAAAGGTAGTTCTCTGAAAAAGATTAATACAATTAACACATTTGGGGCAAGACAGATCAAGGCAAAAAAAAAAAGAAGAAGCAAAAGGACACGTTGTCAATATCGGAACAAAAGGGGCCCACAGATTCCATAGACCTTCAAACTAAGAGGATGTTATAAATACTTGAGGCCGATACGTTGGAAAATGTGGACTAAATGGAATGATCCTTGAACAAACAATACAACTTAGTGAAGTTAGGCACAGGAAAGACTGGAATGGACAAGCAGTGCTGTGGCTGAAAGACAGGCTCTCCAGGACAGAAGCATCATGGGGACCTCTAGGACAAGGGGCACTGCTCCGTTTTTTTGGGAGCTGGATTATAGGTGCCTAAGGTGCTCGGCTTTTTAGATGATGTTTTACACGTTCTTTTGAATGAAGTGTGTCAAAATAAAAGGAAGTACATGAATCCGTTTTAGTTTTTCACTAAGGGGGATGGAGCTACTCCTGGTATTACCAACATCTAACATGCACACAATCTACACCCACAGATGGCTGCCCTGGCTCCTGAGGCAGAGAATAACAAAAACAATAATGACCTAAAAGTAACCACCTTCAGCACAGCAATCTTCTGACTGAGTGTGCCCTATGCACAAAGGCTGAGCTAAGAGCTTTACAATCAGTAGGTAGTCAGGTAGGTTCTACCATTCTCCCATAATTAGTAAATGGCACAGCCAATAGTTGAACCCAGATCATTTGACCTTCAAGTTCTTAACCATTAACCACATAGTTGAAGATGGGGCTCCATTTGGAGAAGAGAATCCCATAGCAACCCTTAGCAGGTGAGGGGGAAAAAAAAATCTCTCTTTAAAATCCTGATCTGAGGCTCAAAACTGTATCAAGACAATCAAATGCCTTCAAGTAGTAGCTATCCTCTCAGCTGACCTCATTAAAAATAGCACTCGCAATGTCAGCCAAAGAAAGACCAAACTTCCACGGTTCCTCTAGTCCATTACTGCATTTCACACTGCAGGTATATAAGGTGACCAGATTGTAACATCGGTAAAGCGGGACACCACTGATAAAACTCACATCCTGGTGAAATAGCCACATGGCAGCTGAAAACCATATACCCTAGCTTGTCGTGCATTCTTTCCAAAAATTGGGACTTTTTAAAAATGCCGTGGGACATAGGAAAAATTGTTAAAAATCGGGACTGTCCCGCCAAAAGCGGGATGTCTGGTCACCTTACATATACCATTAAGTCCCAAATAATCAACTTGAGTAGATATTTGGTTGCTGGCTTCCCACGGCCACGCGCGTAAGCCAAACCTGTGCTCCTAAGTCAACGGGGCGGGGGAGGGAGTAACATGATGCTCTGTAGACTCCAGTGGTGCTGCCACTGACGCAGTTCCCATGGTGACGTCTTCACTTCAAGGGAAGTGGGTGCTGACAAGGCATGTGAAGGGTTTCTTGCTTGCAAGACACTGATTTATTGAACAGACAGACGAACCCACTCTGTACCCTAATATTACATTTCAAATCATATTCTTGCCCACCCGCCCCCCACCCCCGGCTGAACAGCTGTTGGAATCTCACATTGGAACATAAACCCAGATGTGGGAACTTGGCTGTTGAAGTTACCTTGGATTTTCCTGGCACCTTAAACAAAACAGGATTTCTGGGTTCCGTATGAGTGCTTGCGATCTCCGAGGGCTGCTGGTACTTACTCTTTACACTCTTTAGACACGTGGGACGGGACTGTGTATTTGCAATCCATGATCATTGTCAACGTCTCGCTGTCATTGGCTTCTTGAAAGGGCGGCTGCCCGCACACCAACATGAAGAGGATCACTCCCAGACTCCAAATATCTACAGAGCAAAGACAGTGTGAAAACCCGGAGTGCTCTGGAAACCAAAAACACCAAGGGAAGGGAGACAACGAGGCTTGTTATTTTGACTAATCAGAACCCTTCATCTCTCAAAGTAAAAACATCTAGGGAGGAAAACTGAACCCTCCACAGGGCAAGACACCTACCTGCTTCGTTCACTGTGACTCATCAACACTTAAGGCCTAAACAAGTGCAAGACACATGGTGGCACACAGGGAATGGTCAGTAAGTGGACAGTGAAGAGAGTCCATTCATTCATTTACTCAGGGCAAGAATGTCAACTGGAAGCAACCTGTCCAAGCTCTCAGGCCAAGGGGCAGGCAACACACGGCCGCTTTCCCCCTTCTGATGCCCACAGCAATAAAACTAAGATAATCAGAGACAGGGGAGGATTCTGCCAAGGGTGACAATCATATCAGTTCTTCTCCTCAAGTTATAAAACTCGGACCATTTCTGTCGATAAGAACATGAGAGTTCAGAGAAGAGAGAGACACCTGTGCTGCTGGGAGGAAAGGGGCCCCTTGGGGGGGCCTTCTGGGATAGACATTAGGCTGCTAATCTCAAGGTTAGTGGTTCAAACCCACCAGCCACCTGGGGGAGAAAGATGAGGCTTTCTGCTTCAGGAAAGATGGGCAGCCTGGGAAACCATGGGCGTAATTAATTCTACTCCATCCCACAGGGCGGCTATGAGGCAGAATTGACTCGGTGGCGATGGGTTTGATGTATTTGGTTTGGGTTATGTGACAAAAGGCTCGTTATCTATCACCTCAGAGGACAGAACGAGGGCCAAAGCTGTAAGTGACCAGGAGGCCTACTGTGGACACACCCAACAGAGACATTAACACACTAGAGCCAGCTGTCCACAACGAGAATATTAAATCTCCCATCACTGAAGTATCCCAGCAAAGACTGAGCAACCATCCGGTATTCTGCCCCTAGCATTCCCAAACAGGCTGTAAGGCTGGAGTAGTTTGCCCCTGAAGATATTCCTAGTCGTAGCATGAAACAGGAGTTATTGGTGCTGTGAACAGACTGAGCCAGTTTCAACTCACAGTAACCCGATGTACACCACTACAAAACACAATTGGTGCCGTGTTTGAGCCCACTGCAGCCACTGTGCAGGTCCATCTCACTGACGGTCTTCTTTTTTGCCAACCTTCTATTGACTCACACAATACCCCACACCTCCAACTTTTGACCGCCAAATAAAAAGCAAGCCCATCGACCAGAGGCAAAAGTGATGCTATTTTTCAAAGGAAGAAAGGATGGCTCTCTTTGGGAGGAAGTCACAAACCACGCATTCACACCACACATCGAAAACCAAAGGGGTTGATAGCGTACATTTCGTTCAGAAGATCGAGTCAAACAAGCTTTCTAGAACACAAGGGCTTGCAGACAGCAGCTCACCCGGCACTGGCCTCTCCCAGTGAAAACAACATCACGTAGGCTCCATAGGCTTTTCCAAGGGAATGGGCACAGAGTGTCGAGAGATAGCTGTTCCTTGGTCTGAACTGAAGACGAGGGCGATAAAGGCAGCAATCAAGCTGATGATGTGGTGATTTCCGATCCGTACACAGACTTCACCACGGACCCTTCACTGGGAATCAGTGAGGCAGAAGGGGACAGCTACTACAGTGTCTACTAAGGTGTCTACGGAGAGGTTGTCAGGAGCCTAAGGATGATTCCACGTGAACCCTGGAGAAGAACTTCCAACCCCAGTTCTACGACCTTACCAAAACTGCTCACGGGATTTCCTAACGCTGGCTCTCTGCACAATGCAAGTCTCCTGATTCAGATCCCCTGCCCCACTCTGAGCAAGGGACAACTGTCATGAACACTAGTCACCACCAAGCCACCCCACTTCCGGTGACGCCAACTGAGCTCCACAGGGTCTCAGGGGGCGGTTTTCTCTAAGGGGCTGCAATTGCCAGCAGCGCCATCCGGGCGGGTCTGCTCTGGGCTGTGGGGCCTCTCCGAGTCAGAACAGGCTGCACAGCACAGCACAACACCGTCCGCAGTCCACTGGCGGCCACACATGACAGCTCAGTGGCACGATGCCCATGGTCCAAAACGGGACCGTGGAAGTACTTTAAACATACGGAGCAGTAAAATCACCCTAAATCCTTACTTGGTGAAAGAAACTTTGCCTTGTCTGTTAAATTTTAACTTCAGTAACCATCAGGGAGCCCAGCCATTCTTTTCTGGTTCCTTTGCCCTACTTGTTAGGAAATAGCGGAGTTCACTCACTCACGGCCGTCGAGCACATTCTGACTCGGGGCGACTCTCTGGGACAGGGAGTGGGTTTCCAAGGCTGCCACGCTCTATGGGAGTAGCAAGAGTGGTTGGTTTCGAACTGCTGACCCTGTGGTAAGAGCTGATACGTCACCAAGGCTCCCTGTGGTTAGGAGAACACAACACAAACACATGCTCTGGACCAGCTGTTTGCAGTTAGGCCTCAGATCAGGGCTGGGATATGAAAATGGGGAAAAGCTGAGAAACTCTGGACTCCGCTGTATGTCAAGGAGTTTGCCAAGTTAGTCACATGAGTCAACGCATTCTGACCAGAGAACCGTCCAAATGGCACGTGTCCTATTGAGTTATTCCCCGGGACACTTACGGTTCTCCCTTTGTTCGCCTTTGTCTTGGAATCAGTTGCCTCACGTTCCCATTCCTAAGGCCACTGGTCATTAAGCGAACACAAGTGGCACGTACACTTTTAACCCAGTTGTGTGGAACCGTGTGCCCTGCCTTTACACAACAGGCTACGCCCTCCACTCCAGAACACGGGTAGGACCACCCTGTGGGCTTTTCCAGGCCCTTTTCCCAGGGAGGTGACCAGGTCTTTGCTTCCAGGGAGCTGCTGGGGAGTCGAGACCACCATTTGGCCCCTTCCACATTGTAAGCTGTTGCAGGCATGCGGGATGAAGGCAGTACTCAGCACAAAGGAGACATTCAAAGGCAGCTGCAGCCGCCCTGCCCCTGCTTGTCTGGGGCAGGCACTGCTGTAGGCACAGGGAGAAGACACATGGGATTCTTCTGTTTTTAAAGGGTTCCCATTCACTGTGAGGAACAGACAGGAAGTTGGTACAAAGTCAGAAAGCTCAAGGGGCACAGAGCCGTCATCAGGCAAGGTCCCAGACGGGAGGACCCCAGGTGCTTACCCTCGGTGCATCAATGGGTCACCAGGGGACTGACTTATGCTGTGTCCAGGACTGGGGTGGAGCTTACATTAGCGATTGAGAGGAAGTAGCAGAATCAAAGGGCGTGCTAACTGTTCATTTCAGGAAAAGCAAACGCAAAGGGAAGGCTGGTGGTAGTCAGGGCTACGAATACTTGTTCCCAAAGTGACTTATCTAGGCGGCAAAAGAAAGATAAGAAAGGTAACGCTCAGACGAGAAAGGTAGAACCCTCAGTCCTCTTTAAGCCGAGCGTGCAGCCGTGGATCAGGGGAGAAGCTGCAGGCCTGGGAGGTCCCTAAGACACTGCAGCAGAAGCAGGACTACTGCTGCCAGCTGCCGGCCGAGACGCAAGCGCTCTTCCACTCGTGTTCACCAGCGACTGGCATTTGACCCCACACCAATGTAAAAGCAGAGCTTTCTTAAAAAGCAAGGGCTTCTATCCCAAGGGCTCTAGAAGGGACCTTCAAACTTCAATTCGGACTCAGTGACTCTATAGGATAGGGAAGGACTGCCCCTGTGGCTTTCTGAGACTGCAACTGTGTACAGGAGAGGTAGTCTCCTCTTTCTCCAGAGAGGGAAACCTAGAACCTGTGTTTCTGCCCTGTGTACACAGTGAGAACTGCTCATCTGCACTGAATGACCTGGAATGTTTGATGACTGATTCCTTCTTGTCCCAAATAAGACCAATGATGGATTCTAAGAAACACGACTAGAGACGGTTCAGAAAGAAGAAAAACTCTCAAGCCATTTGAATGAACAGAGGGAGGCAGAAAAGGAGAGAATTCGGACAAGATCATGTTTCTCAGTCATTCTCATTAGAAGCCAAGTTTTATTTTTTAAGGGGAAAACATGTTTCCCTTCAAATTAAAAAGGTAAATATGTATATAAACACACACGTGAATGCCATCAGGTCACAGTCATACTTTACAACCTCCCTCTCTCCTGATTATTAGCTCTGAATCCTCTGGAATGCCCCTGGGGGTGGGGGGGAAGGCCTCAAACTCAGTACTGCCCAAATGGAACTTACTGTCTTCTCCCCAAACCTGTTTGTCCTAGTCAGATCGCTAGCTTCTGCCCACCCAATCAAGTCTCAGACATCCCAGGTGCCCCCCTCTTCGGGCCTCTGACTTCCAGGTGGAGTGATTCTGCCAACTGTCACCTGCTGAACACCCTCAAACGCTCCCGCAGCTGGCCCTCCTCCCTCCCACTTGGCTGCCTGGGCTTGGGGGTGCTTTCAGCATCAGCACGGTGGGCTGAGATTCCCGATTTCCTCTGCTGCCTGGAGCTCCTTAAGCATGGGGCATGCCCGGCACCCAGCTGGGGCTGCTCAAAGGCAGTTGGTTGAACGGGGCGAACCTGTAAGTAAAGCTGTGCTGTCGTCAGCCCTGCTGCCCAGTTGGCCACTGACTTCACAGCGATCCACATCCAACATGACACTACAGTGCTCAGTCCTGCACCAGGAACCCCCACCATCAGAGGCAAGGAGACCAAACAAATGCTCTTCCTCATACGTCGTACCCTGGAGCACCCTGACACCTGGTCAGCATCATAGAGCACACGCGGCTCCACCAACAGGTGGGTGGGCCCCGGGCTACACACGGGAGACACACTAACTGGGTCTCTCCACGGAAGGTGGCACGTCTACTCCTGAGCCTCACTGAGCCTCACTGTGGCCAAAGAGGAAGCAGTTACCCTGCAAACTCCTGACCTAGCGGGGGTGGACACAGAGGCAGCTGAAGGTCTTCGGGACCACAGCAGCATGCCCCTCATCTCATCTACACAAGATTAGGGAAAGGGGATT